GTGGGGAATACGGGGCAAGGAGATAGGCGCAGGCGCGGCGGCGCCTCGCACTTCCCTCGGTTCTAGCTCCCAAACCGGTAAAGATAGATGGTGGGTATAAGCGAGTCGAACATGGACCCAGGTTAAAGCTGTAATTTTTTCGCGATACCACCAGTACAACGCGAGTGGCTACACGTGAATGATTGCCTGGGGTGCCCGGCCGTATGGTGAAGAGGCGCGAGAGGTTCAAACGATTGGAAAACAGTGCCGCCATTTTTAAACTTCATAGGCCAAGGCTGATGGACGAAAGTAAGCCCAAAGGGCAAAATCCGTGGAAAGATTAAAACAATTCCTAATTTTGAAGACAAAACCGACCCAAAACAATTTTTTTTGTATCCTTATGTTCAGGAAGGACTGAGGAATTATGGAGCACTTTCCCTTATTAACATAAATCATCCGGTAATTTGTCATTGGATCCTGAACTTTCAAAACCCGTTTACTCGGAACGCGCCGGTAATGAGATCGGACTATTGAACGGTCGCGGCCAGATCGGACTCTGTTGAACGGTCGCTGTGAGATCGGATTTTGTTGAACTGTCGCGGCGAGTCCAGACTTTGTTGAGTGATTGCGGCGAGATCGTACTTTGTTCTCAGGACCCATCGAATATTTTTTGCAAGGCACCGATTACTTTTATGTGGTCAGTTTCACAAAATTGTTACGGTTTAATCTTACCAAGCTTGTTTATGCGTACGCGTAGTGCCTCAACGTAGAATCTCACGCAGGAAGCACGTAAGTTCTTCTCATTAAACAGCTCTACCTCCACGTCCCAAATGTACTTCTCCGCATTGCTGACGCCCATCGCCAGGGCGGTTTGAATATCAAGGGAACCGTTGGTCACGATGCGTCGGGTCTATAAACGCGTTTCAGAAATATCTGAGTAAAGCATTCCGGTAAAGCTGAAATGCAGAAGAATGCAGGGAACAAGAAAACGGAAGTCCCGTGGAAAATCTTTCTTCTTCCTCGCATTCTTCTGCATTTTAGCTTTACCGGAATGCTTTATTAAAACGAAAAGTAAAGCGACACACTGAAAAAGAAAATATGGTGCTGAGAGACAGCGCACGCTAAAAACAATGTCGCGTTTTTTGAGGGGAAGGAGGACACTTTGAGGACCTCTTATATTTTAGCAAAACTCGTCAGTTTTCTCCTGATATGATATGAGATATTTCCTCATTTTAAGCATAATCTGAGGCAAGACCCAAGGAGTTATTTCCTCAAACATAGAAGGTCCTCAACGTTTTCACTTTTTCCTTACAAACGTTATTAACTAGCTATATGTACGCCAGACCACGTCTCGCGTAACAGGCTTCGCGATATATCTCACGAAACACTGTTACGCTGCGACGCGCCTGGCGCACACATAGCTAAGCCTAGGGCGCTGACACCCGAGACGAGTTAATGAGAGAGGGTATAGGGGAACAGGGCCTTCCGGGCCGAAAATTTGACCTACTCAAACCACTTGTCGGGGTCTTATTACTCTAAAATTAGAGAAATGAAACTTCTGCTGTTCGGTAACGGTTTTCATCAAAATTCCGAATTTTGACAGATTGTTCTGTAAAAATCAACGTTTTAGAGATACTAGATAATCTAGGGACCCTTAAGCCCAAAAAGGGTGTGGTTCGACCCGTAATGTGTGGTTGAAGTATTACTCCCTTTACAATTCAGTGAAGCCTTTTTTACGATTTAATAGACCATTTTGTTTCTTTTTCCCGTTGTTTTCGCCAAGAAGTGCCCCAAAGCCCCAAAACGGTACCCCTTACAGACTTTCAGAATGAAACTTTTCCGGTCAGTGGAGTAATGGGCTTTGCTAATCGCTCAGCCAACAGTTTATTTTTGTAATTTATTCTTGTTCTATACTGAATCTATTCGGCCACATACATTGGTAACGTGTACTGAGTGTATACGTGTACGGAGTGTATACGATGTGTACACGGGGCAGTTTTCACGGGCGACCGAATCGAAACAGCAGCCTTTCCTTCTCAAACGTTGCTTAGATTACAGTTTTCACACTTATTCTTTCAAAATGCGCTCTGATTGCCGTGGTGCTTATGACGAAGACGCGCCTGACGCGCAGTGCCGCTCAGCGCTGCTGCAGTCGCACGAACTATAGGATGGCGTCGAAGGCTCGTGTCTACGTGATGGGTCTGCGTTACGGTGCGAGCCTGGGCGCGAGGGGGTTTTCAATTCTGAAATACCGTGTACACCAAATGAGGTATTTCACAGGTAGTTCACGTGAAATACACCGAAATACGCCTAAATATGCTCCAAAACGGTGAACTTTTCCTGAGAAATACCGACGAAATACACGTATTACGATGTACTGTGTGCACGGAAATCTCGAGTGAAAATCCCCTCGGCTGGGCGGGTGCAGGGGGATAAGGTAGATACACTACTACTCGCCTTTGAATGATTTTCCTTTTTACGAAACCGCGTCAACTCCTACTTGTTTTCAAATAGATCTTGGCCACACGTTGTTCAGGTAATAGCTGCGCCTGCAGGCGCATGCGCAGAAGGGGCTGCCCAGCGGTGCAGGCCCCAGCCGATAGATGGCGATCGATCGAGGCGCCAACCAAAGACAGCTTCTGCTGCTAGTTCTAGAAAGATTTTCCCTTTTATTGCACTGTAAAACAAAACTGCTCAGCAATATCAGCTATGCCCACTGCCCCGTGTACATCTCGTATACACTCCGTATACGTTATCAGTACACGTTCCTACTATATGTGGCCGTGTTTACCTTATGTTCGTAAAAAAAAGACCCTCTAGCGCCGAAACGGTTTGAGATAGAGCGAAACGGACGAAATTTTCGGCCGAAGGTCTATACTTTGATGGGTTACCCCTTAGGAAACCATAAAAAAAAATATTTCTAAAAAACGTTAGTTTTGGGACCTGTTGTTTTTTGGCTGAGCGATTAGCGAAGCCTATTACTCCGTCTGGTCGGAAAAAACTTTTTCTGTCTATCTGTCTGTCTGTCTGTGTATCTGTCCACACGAAAACTCGAAAACGAATTGAGCAAGCCACCTGGGATTTTCAGGGTCGTTTTGTATCATAAAAAGACAGATCGAGTTCGAAGATGAGCATTCTAGCTCAAAAATTGGATTTTTAAAAAATCAAAAACAAGAGGTCCCAAAAATGACGTTTTTTAAAAATATTTTTTTAATGGTTTCCCAAGGGGTAACTCATCAAAGTAGAG